CAAAGAAATTAAAGCAATATATCAAAAGAAAACAAACCCAGGTATGAAACAGGAGAGTTTTTACATTAAAATGAAAAAAAAAAATTGTTCTCATAGTAGTTTTGGGAAATTTGTGCTTTCTTAGTGAAAGCCCTGGCTGCTCAGAGGGTTAAAGGGATGAATTCTTGTCTTTTACTAATTAATTGAGTATTTTACTTTATAATGTTCATATAAAAAATTTAATATTATTTTTGGAGAATCCTCCCTTATCAACAGCATTGAAATTGTTCTTATAAAATTCAGTATCTTATTTTCCGAAACTCTGAAACAGTAAATATATAACTAGGCTAAATAAAGCCAGAAGCTGACATTCTGGTTATAAGAAAGGTGCATAGAAGAAGTATACCTATGTTTCGTGAAATGGTAAAATTTGCTAATGCAAGTGGATATGCCTATGTAATGTAACATAACCATAAAAAATTATAAATTAACCCCATGAAGAACAATTCTAATATCAAAAATAAATCAAAAGATATAGGTGACATCAAAGCTGATAGTGACCAGCTATCTACAAGTTAATGGTCACTTGTGGTTAATCCATATGTCAGCAGAACGAGACCAGTAAATTCAGATATTTAAATAAATGTTAAAACACATTAGTACCGATGAATGCTACTGATTAACGCCCACCAGCGGCCGAGGGGTAAGGTTCGAATCCCACGAACGGGCAGGCTGCATGGGCGTTTTCGTAGTTTTCCCCATGTGTAACGTGTATACGAGCCAGTTTCCCTTAGAAAGTCCTCCACGGAGGCATTCCTCCCCTTAGGCAGATAGCCCTCGAGGCTTTGCCATAATCACACACACACACTTCGCTACTGATTAACTGTGACTAACAAGTTGAATGTCACTTGGGATCAACCAAAGGATCACTGGTATGGCAGTAATTTTAGAGATATTTTAATTAAGATTACACCAATTCACATTATTACTGATTAAAGAAAAGGATCCCCAATAGCCTACAGTTCATAAATCAATCTATAACCAATGGCCTACCAATGGGTCACCATAGTGATGCAGGGAAGTAAATTTAGACCTATTTTTAAATTAAATCTCAGCAAAAGGGTACCCATCACTGCTGTTGTTCGTTCATAATCTACAGTTTGAGAATCACCTTAGAATCAATTAATAGGTCCTAAAGTTTTTCTTAAAACCAGGCTAATTTAACATAATAGTTCAATATGCAAATATTGAATTTCTCCCAAAAGCATCGCTGATAAAACGAGTGTTGTTATAACTGCATATTACTAGATTGCAATAACAAAGTTTCATACAAAGGGTATTTACAATGTTTTACAACTAATTTTTAAAGCAAACCTGTCCAACAATAATTGACAACATTTATTACTATGGCATATTAGCTTACTTATCTTAAATTATCATCTGATCATGGGCAGAATTTTCCTACGGTCAATTTTTTGCTATGATCCAATGGAGGATTTGTTGTCAATGATTCTAAAAACGAGCAAATAATAGCAATAAAGCTTTGTTTTAAAGCATGAAAACAACAATGGATTAATTTGAAACACTGTGTAAAACATGCCAAGGATACCACTGTTATGATATATTTTTTATGGCATGGATGACATGCAAAGATGTGTGGATGCAAAGATACTGATAATGAGCACAGGAAAATTGTAATCACAGACTTACACTGTATTCGATGCAAATAGATAGAACACTCCAATTTAAATAAAACATTGAACTATACTAGACGCTGGCTATACTAGACGCTGGCTTGATAGACTATACTAGACGCTGGCTTGGTAACTCTACCGGACTATCAGAATTTAAGTGTTCGTAGCCAGAAACCACGAAGCCGAATAATAAGAACTCTTAGAGTTGGCAGGAAACTAACCACATAGCATGCACAATTCCAGAAACATTCCCTATTTCAAAATTCCAAAACTTCAGTTCAAATGCTCACTATTAATTTGCATTCTGTTAAGGAATAAGGAAAGGAGAAGTTTAGTTCGTAAAACCTGATTAATTAACATAAGATTCTTTACAGTGTATTTGGTAGTTTTTCAAACTTCGGCCCAGAGACTTGAAGGCCGCAAATCCAAAAATAGATCAATCTCATTTTGGACATCCTGTGTAGAATGGAAGATAGCACAAGCGAGTTGTAGCAGCTGCTGTGAAAAAATGTAGAAGTCCAAAAGGAGTAATGTTGGAGTTATATGGTGGGTGTGATAAAAGATCTCATTCGAGTCCGTACAGATGTCAGGGCCATATGATGGGTGCGGCAAAACATCTCATTTAGGCCCATACAGAGTCCAGCCAGTGAATGCAGACATATGTGATCTTGCATTATCTTGATGGAACATTACCTTTTTCAGTTTGACGTTTTCCCTTGAAAGCAGTATCAACACGGTCTAGCATCTTGCCGTTGAGGGATTTACCTTTTTCCAGATACACTTTGTGGATAATACCATGGCAACCCACCAGATACAAAGCATATTTTTGTTAGTTAAATTGCACTTTGCAATGCTGCCAACAGGCTCACTGGACACTGGGCACAGACCAACCGCCTTTTCAGGCTGTGTTGTTGAAGTACAGTGGTGGCCAAAATTGTGGACACTTTTGGAAATTTTTATGTTTTTGAACTTTGTATGCTTATAGAAAATGTTACGTTTCGCAAAATGCAAACTTGTATATATCATTTTAAAGAGAATTTATTACTGAATTCAATAAAAAACACAAAATTCAATTATTTGCAATACAAAAAAAAGCTATATGTACTTTAATATAAATTAAACAGTTACGAAGTGGTTTGTAATGTCTAGCTTTCCTGGCCAATCACTGTTCTTGTTCTGAGAACCAATTAAATGTTAGTAACTGCCAGTAGAAGCTGACACCATGTTTACACTTGAAACAATTCATTATTTTGCTTTGTTCTGTAGAAGGAGGACCTGTTTCTTATACACTGCAATTACAAGAAAGGAATTTTTGTAAAATTTTTAATATTCAGTCAAGAAGCAATGACATCAAATAAAAGAGTAGATTGGACACCTAGAAAGAGATGTAATGTTATTGTGTTACGAGAAAGCGGTCTTTCCTATGCTGAAATTGTAAGACAGGTGGGTGGTTCAGTGACTACATCTGGAGTCCGAAAGTTTTGTTTACGATATCAGGAGACAAATTCAATAAAAAACAAAGAAGGAAAAGGCCGAAAAAGGTGCACCACATCTACTGATGACAGAAGAATAAAAAGACTATGTCTCCAAGATAGAAAAATGTCATCAGCAGCCATCAGAAGTGATCTGAATGATGCTGGTGTTTCTGTCAGTTCAAGAACTATCAGGAGAAGATTAACAGATGTTGGACTGAGAGGTAGAATTCCACGAAAAAAGCCTTATCTTAATTTTCAGCAACGAAAAAAAAGACTACAGTGGGCAAAGGAATACATTAATTGGACAGATGATCAGTGGTCACAAGTTATATGGAGTGATAAAACTAAGATATCGTTATTCGGTAGTGATGGGCGAAAATATGCAAGACGTAGAATAGGAGAAGAGCTACATCCTGACTGCATTCAAGCAACTGTGAAGAACCCAGTTAGTGTTATGATTTGGTCATGCATGTCAGCAGATGGTATTGGTCGCCTTCATGTCATCGATGGGACACTGAATGCCAGAAAATATATTGACACTATTCTAGAACCAAAACTTCTACCTTCCATCAGAGATCTCTTTCCCAAATATTGCTTCGTTTATTTTCAGCAGGATTCAACTCCTTGCCACACAGCCAAAATATCGAAAGAGTGGTTTAGTACAAAAAGCATTAAATTGTTGTCATGGCCAGGAAACAGTCCTGACCTCAATCCTATTGAAAATTTGTGGCACCGTTTGAAAACTCTTCTCCGAATGAGGCGCCCATCAAGTAATCTAATTGAGGCTATAACTGTTTCCTGGCATCATGTAATAACGAAAGAAGAGCTTAAAACTCTTGTCAACTCAATGAAACGTCGATGTGAAGCTGTAATAAAAAATAAAGGGTACCCTACTAAGTACTGATAACTCACTGCAATCATCACTATCTACTGTATATTGATAACTATTATCGTTTAACTTTTTTGTATTGCAAATAATTGAATTTTGTGATTTGTATTGAATTCAGTAATAAATTCTCTTTAAAATGAGATATACAAGTTTGCATTTTGTGAAACATAACGTTTTCTATAAGCATACAAAGTTCAAAAACATATACATTTCCAAAAGTGTCCACAATTTTGGCCACCACTGTAAATCCACTTTTCATCAAAAGTGACGATGCGGTCCAGAATTTTGTCCTTACATTGATATTTGAGCAGATTAGTTGCAGGCCCGAACATGTCTATCCTTATCTATTTGAGTCGACTCATACGGCAACCAGCGACTGAACTTGTGCGTCAATTTATGTGATGCATAGCACAACTAATGGACATGGCGCTAACATCTAACTCCTCTCAAGTGGTTCCATACCGATCTTCTTCCACAAGTTCTTAAACGCTGGCCTCATCAACATCAGTAGGCCGGCAAGGGAGCTTTTCTTCTTGAAAGTCATTGTCCTCGTTTTTGAACTTTCGGTGTAGTATTAATACTTAAAGCCATACATATGATTTGGTGACATTCTGTAGCTGACTTTTTGCAATAGAACTGGAAGTAAATGATGGTTCTAATCTGGTAGCAAGGTAGTTCCATTTCAGACACCTTGTACTTAATGATAAAGATATTTTTTTACAAATTTCACAACACAGTGTTCTAAAGCAAGTCTCTTTCTTTCAAATGTCAAACATCGTTTGACAAAATATGATTAAACATGCAAACATAAACTGTTTGCACAGTCAATATTTGCGGCGGTGAGAAACTTTCATTAAAACCCGACCGATACTTTAAAAATCTACCAATACAATTTTCACCAAAAATGTTTTTTTTTTTTTTTTAAGTCACCTTGTAAAAGCTAATAAACATGAAGGAAATTACCTCTCTAAAGAAAGTCCCCAAGCAATAACAGAAACATCTTCAGACAAACCCATTGGAAGTAACATCTCTGGTCGAAACATTCCTGAGTTTCCAACCTCCACCCACTTTTTTAAGCCATCATGATAGCTGAATATCTCCATGCTTGGCTCAGTATATGGATTATATGCAGGTTTAAAACGAAGCTTTCTGATACCTTAAAATAAATAAATAATAAAAAAATTAAGATTTTACTAAGCAATTTATATACCATAAGAAATAATGAACTGGATAATGATTTTTAAATTGCATAATTAATGGTTAGGAACATCAAAAGAAAACTCCACATTTTAATTACTTTCATCAACAATATATAAAGATCACAAGTTCTTCCTATTAACACATGAAACTATAAACACTTGAATTTCATAATACAGATGGCCAAATGTGTCTTATGAATACATCTGGCTATGTGTTCACATTTGGCTATGAAGAAAGGCATTTGACATACTAAATGAAAGCATGTTTTCAATCACAAGCTAATCTGAAACATGCATATCATTCTTACAGCATATACCTCAGATTCCGGATGTGCCATTTAGAGACTGAATGAAGTGAATATGGTGCCGAAATTGGCATACAGGAATCATTATCAAGCTCATACGACTTGACGTTTTGGCCCATTTAATTCATATAATTAACTCGTACCTCACTAATAGATCTTTTTCCGTACGAGTTAATTCTTTCATTTCGGCACCCCGTCCTATACTAAGTGGCGTCCCCCAAGGGTCACTTTTAGGCCCAATTTTGTTCAACATTTTCATAAATGACATACCAAAATCACCTAGTATCACTCTTGCACTTTATGCAGATGATACGGCCATCCTAGCTCAACACAAACGCCTTGAAAACTTGGTCCAAATCATTCAGAGATATCTCTCTAGCCTTGAGCACTGGCTCATCACTTGGAAAATAAAAATTAATGTTGCTAAATGTGCTGCTATGATATTCAAACGTAGCCCCCTCCCGTACCCTTCCATTAATATTAAATTCTTTGACGACTATGTTCCCTGGTCAAATTCTTACAAGTACCTAGGAGTTGTACTTGATTCAAAATTAACCTGGCGCCTTCACATCGAAAATGTTCTCAACAAAGCAAAAGGTGCCAGAGCCCAACTTTATCCTCTTTTAGCTCGAAAGAGCCATCTGTCAATTAAAAACAAAATTCTTCTCTATACATCCATTATAAGACCTGTCTTTATGTATGCATGTACAATCTGGGGTACTGCTGCAAAAACTCATGTGAAAAAACTTCAATCTTTTCAAAGTAAAGACCTTACGTATGGCCCTGAATGCAGCCTGGTACGTCCGTACAGATGTGATTCATTCGGACCTTAAATATTAAACCTGTTGATTACCTATATTAAAAAAAAAAACTTAGTCAAAATTTATTCCTCAAAATTGAACAGATTGATAACCGAGCACTTCAGCAGATCCAGCATACGATCCTGCTATTCGCAGCTCACAGAAGAGACCGAGAGCCGTGATTGGCCGAGAGTTCGGCATCTACCCGCCATCCAAAAGGGCAAGACACGCCCTCTCAACATCAGTTCCAGCCCCCGCGCCATGAAGGAAGGACGTCTCTTCAGCGAGCTGCCATATAATTGCTTATTCATCTTCTACAACTGCAATCCAAGATCTTCAAGCAAAGTTATCAATCTGTTTACTTAAGAATCACATCTCCCGCAGATTTTTTTAAATCTGCCTAGAAATTTTTCATCGCGTTCCCATTTATTATTTGCACTCTCCTACACAAGCCACATGCCAATGAGCCTATTAATCGTAAACTCTTTCCTATCCGCTTTTTGCTTTAGTGTTTGTATTGTGTATTAAAAAATTATAAAAACCAAAAAAAGTATAAAATATAAAATACAAAAAAATTATAAAAACCTAAAAACTTATAAAAAAATTATGATACTTAAGTTTTTATTTTCTTATCCCTATCCCTAAACTTTCTCGAGCCTGTGGCTCCCTCTATTGAGCATCAAGTAAATCACTTATGCCAAATTTTTCCTATTTCTGCTCACTTTTAGTAATTCTGATGTGGAGGTACATGGTTTTGAACCATAGGCACTCCGAAAATTGCAAATCATTGGCATTGGCATGGTGCCGAAAATCAAATCAAGAACTTTTATAACATCTGAAGCAAAAGCGTTCATATTAAACCATACATAAAGTTCCTAAAAAATCACACAAAGACATTTTACTTTAATTACTTGTCAAAATTATCTATATGCCTTTAAAAAATCTACATTTCAAAAGAAAAAAAGAAAAATGACTAAAAAACAAAGCCAAAAAAGGGGGAGCAACCTTATGCTTGAATTAAAAGAGTAATCAGTAAATGTTCTAATACAACTCAATCCAGGGTTGCCAATCAAGCAAGCGAATGAAACTACTTGACTTTTCCAGGCTTTCCAGATGTGTTTAAAAAAAAAAATTCCAGTCTATCCGCATAGTACACGTTGGCTGTGCTGAGCAGTAAATTAATTATGTTACCATGTAAGAACACAAAAATTGCTCAATTACATATGACTCATATATATAATTCCCAGAGCATTACTATTATAACTATAATAGAAAGTTGTTTTCTCCAATGAAGACTGAGATTAGATGTTAAAAATAAAATGATCAGGTTATTAGACGACCGTCAGTCACGCCGAATATTAAAATAAAATGATCGTGTGATCAGATGGTGTGATCAACGGTCGTCCAAATTCTTCTCCCGCCAGGCCTTGCGGCAAATGTTTATGAAAAATAAAACTTTAGAATTCTTGTGTAACATATTTCTTGGCTTACTAGGATTGTTTTTATTTCCTGTTCTCGCTTAATTTTCTAGTGATTATTACATTATAAATTATAATTTTTTTATGGTGTCGAACACCCGGGAAGGCTGTTTGGATTATTTCTTTCAGATTGCACTAGGCTAAATTTTGAACATTTGAATTGCAGGTATTTTAACTTTGCAATTTAATAGTTTATTTATCACTTGAATTATTATTACTTTCAATTTTGTTTTGTCTATAAAATGGAAACTCTTGATAAGTTGAAATCCAAAAGGAAAGTTATTAGAAGTGCTTACAGGAAATTCATTAATAGAATTGACTCTTATTTTGATAGTCTAAATCAGTGGTGCGCAAACTAGGGGTCGCCAAATTTTTGTGAAATGCATTATGCCTGCATGCTGCATACCATACAGTGTACATATAAAGAGTGAAGCGCTGTCACTCACTGTTTAATTGCAATTTCATGCTGTCCGCTCTTTCTTTGACCGTAGCGCCCTCTTCGTGGTAGTTCACCAGTTTTACTGAAAAGCGCCTATTTGACTAGACGTTAACCACAGGGAAAGGGGGAAAATTCGGTTCCGTGATCAGCCAATCAGATGGCGAAGTACGCGGTGTATCTGATAGAGTGAAGACATGAAGTGTTCGCATGAAGTTGTAGCATGTAGCAGTTGGCACAATTGTTTTAGTTTATCTTCGAGTTTTATCATGTGACGTTGTGTAATTATGATTTTTTATAATTTTTATCGAGCTTTGCTACTCTTTGTTATCAGGTATGTACTATCATTAGAGAAAGATCTCTGTTAATTTTATTGAATTTCTCGGAAAAAAATGATAAAATTTTATATATTATTTGTTTTAGTTTAAATAATTTAACCCCTATGTTCATAATGGATAAATGGGTAATACGTACACCAGGTACATCTTCAGCTAACATACGAATGAACAAATACTGATGAGGAGTCTGCAAAATACTGAACTAAATGCCCGATCTAAAAAAATAAGAAAATACAATGAGGAATTTATTAAGTATGGTTTTACATTTTTGTGTTGTTGATGATGAAGAACGCCCGATATGTGTCATTTGCAACGAAAAATTAGCAAATGAGAGCATGAAACCAGCTAAATTAAAAAGGCACCAGGAAACTAAACATAAAAAACTTCAAAATAAACATGCCGATTTTTTCAAAAGACGAGCTGAAAATCTGAAAATTCAAAGTGCACATTTAAAGAAATTTACAATACCTCAGAAAGCATTACGAGCTTCTTTAGAAGTTTCTTATATCTAAAGGAAAAACAATGAAACCCCATACAATTGGAGAATCCCTTATCCTTCCTGCAGCAACTAAGATGACATCAATTATGTCATGGGCATAAATATGGAAATGAACTAAAAACAATACCATTATCAAGAGATACCAGTGTCTCGGCGGATTTCCGAAATGTCACGAAATATCGAGTCAGAAGTCATAAAACGCATACAAAATTCATCTGTATTTGCTTTACAACTGGACGAGACTACCGATATTACTAAAATGTCACAACTAATTATTTACGTTAGGTTTATTTTTAATGAAGATATAACAGAAACGTTTTTATGTTGCAAAAGTTTGGAAGGAAAAAACAACTGGAGAAAAAATATTCGAAGTAATAAATGAATATTTTGAAACAAAGTCCCTTACCTGGGCAAACTGTGTTGCGGTTTGTACTGATGGTGCTGCAGCATTAACAGGTTCGAATAAAGGGCTCAGAGGCTTAATTCAGAAGGTGGCGCCTCATATGGTATTTAATCACTGTATGATTCATCGGCAAGCTCTTGTTGCAAAAGATATGGATGAAGAGTTGCACAACATATTACAAGACGCTGTTTAGTTCAATTAACTACATTAAATGCAACACCCACAACAGCCGTCTCTTTTCAATACTTTGCAATGAGATGGGCTCAACGTATGAGAGATTACTGTTACACACCGAAGTCAGATGGCTTTCACGTGGGAAAATACTACGACGGATATTTGATTTGAGAAATGAAGTGTACATGTTTTTAATCGAAAAGAAACATAGATTGGCAAGTTATTATATCAATGAAGTTTGGCTAGGGAAGCTGAGCTATTTAGTTGATATTTTCGAAAAACTTAACGACTTAAATTTGAGCTTGCAGGGTGAGAATTCAACTATCATAACTTCAGCCAGTAAAATTCAAGCTTTTAAGAATAAGCTTAGTCTCTGGCAAAGCTGAACTGAATAAAAACAACACCGACATGTTCCCTTGCTTTAACGATTTTATCAAGGAAAATAATATAGATATATTTACATTTAAAAACATCATTTCCAATCACATTGAAAAGTTAAAGGAAAATTTTTCGAGAAGATTCGA